ATTAATGGACGTGTTTTCTCTTAAATGAGATAAATGTTTTGACAAATAATACGCCAAAAATGGTAGAGGGTGAATGAGAAATTGATTCTTAGAGTTAACCCGTTAATAAAAGAATATGGTAAGGATTGCAATTTTTTTTCAATTTTACTGAGCCAATCTTCTATTATTAATTTTACGTATTGTTTAAAATTAGTCCTTTTTACGGAGTTAACTGGCCATTAATCTCCAATTATTCGGGACAAATTTTAAACGGAGCGTAGCGTAACGGTCGTGTTAATGGCTAATTAATCACCATTAACACACCACAAATGCCATGATTAATTCCAATGGTTAATGGTGGGAGTTACATTTTTCCTAAACTCCTTAATTATAAAATCAAAGCTCACTCCATCATTTATTGTGTGCTTCACGTGAGAAACAAAAAGAAAAAAAAGAAAGAAAATATTTCTTGTTTATTTTTTGAGAGAGCTCTTGATTTTCCGGCCAAATTTCCGACCATCCCCTTCAAAGTTTTTTGGTCGCCAACGTTCCTACGTTGTTTTTGTTCGTTGGGGTGTGGTTGGTCCGTACATCTCCACACACGATAGCGGTTTTATCTTGGGAGGAGAGTGCCCACGTTTTTCCGGTACGGTAGGCGGGCACTACTACCTTAAGGACAACTCCGGCGACTCCGCTGTCCTTCACGGTGTTTTGTTTTGCAGGTTTAGTTCATAAAGACCTCGCTGCATTCTGCCCTAGTGCATAATGTCCTCGCAGCCCAGTGCATAATGTCCTTGATGTCCTGTGCATAATGTCCTCGATGTCCAGTGCTTAATGTCCTCATACAACAAGGTTGTTTAAAGATATATAAATTTATTTTCAATTCTGTTTATCTTGTAATATTCTGAATAAGTTATGAATTCAGAATTTTATTTATTTTTATTTTTCGAGGCCGTTCATCTTCCCCGTCCGTTGTAATCCGTACAAAAAGTTGTAACAATCTTAAGGTAGTAGACATATCCGTGCACAATGGCGGGTATGGACGGATTCGGTTTTGACGCTCACACCGGAAACAGGAGTAGTTCCGAGACTCCGGTTGTGAACGTTTCGGCTGGATTGGGTGGCTCTGTTGGGAAGACCACTTCAATCAACATTCCTTTCGGATCGAGTGCGGCCATGGGGTCCACTCCGATCACCACCTTCGTTGGATCGAGCGCGACTATGAGGTCTGCTCCGGTCACCTCGGTTATTGGACCAACCGCGGCTACGGCCGCAATGGTCACCCCACTCCGACCGAATATGGATTCGGCCATACCGGTCATTCCCTCACTTGGACCGAACACGGGTGTCTTCACATCCGCACTGGTCGGACATCCTACTGTTATGCTGCCTGCGAATTCTGTCAAAGAACCGACAAAGTTCACAGGTGTTGGTTTTAAAATATGGAAGCAAAGGATGTTATTTTGGCTGACCACCCTCAACCTTGCGAGGTACTTGAGGGAGGATCCCCCTGTTGTGGGGGAGAACGCGGACGAGCCAACAGTTCAGGCCAATGTGGTGGAGCATCCACTCAAAGAGGTTTCTTCCAATGGGCCTACGCCAAACAAGGACAAGAAGAAAATTGGTCCTAAAGGAGGCTATTTTATCTAGGAATTATTTGTTAAATAAAATACCCTGGAAAAAAAACTTGTTAAATCTCCTTACGAGTTGTGGTGTAATAAGAAACCTTCCTATAAATACCTGAAAGTGTGGGGGTGCCTTGCAAAAGTTTTAGCACCACCACCAAAGGAAAAAGATTGGTCCAAAGACCATTGATGGAATCTTTATTGGCTAGAGTGGTAGCGCGTATCGATTCTTAGTGTATAGGTCTGATGATTCAGAAATACATAAGAACACATGCAAAGAGTAACATGTATAATGGTAAGTCTAGACATGTTCGTCGTAGACACAAAACCATTAGACAACTTCTCACAACTGGGATTATTACAATTGACTATGTGAAGTCAAAAGATAATCTGGCGGATCCGCTAATCAAAGGGTTAACAATTAAGTTGCATGAGAAGTTGGTGGCAGGAATGGGTTTGAAGCCCTTGTGCTAGGATAGTCCTATGAAGGAAAACCCAACCTGGCTGGTACCCAGGTTCAATGGGACAACCTACTTGTAGGATTAAGCATGGTCACTGTGGGGGCGGTACCGGAACCTCCGGTCAGTCCCTTCTGTTCCTGCTGAAGACAGTGACTCCCGAAAATGATGAGGCTAGCATATAAATATGCTTTAATGATTCTTAATCAATAGACACGGTGGTCTAAGTGGAGTAATCGGGATACTCTTAAAGAATCACCTATGTAAGAGTGAAGTGTGGTCGCTTCAAACGAAGGATCTTGGGCTTAATCCTCTAAACACTCTCGCAGAACCAGGCGCGTGTCCCACGACCAAAATGGGCACAACCATGAGAACAGAATGACGTTTGGTTGGAATTTGTGTATTGTATACTATCATTTACACAAGCGGCAGTACAGTTCAAAGACATCGCGTTCTACTGAACAGCCAGTAAAGAAGGTATACTTTACAAGGGACATGTTCAAAAGTGGAGACACTTACATGTTCTATGCAGATTTTCAACCGTGGGATGTTGTCGACCCCAAATCAATTTTTCATTCATGTGGGGGATTGTTGGAATTTTTGGCATTTTTAATAGGCATCAAATGGACCAACTAGGGTATATTTGTCAATAGGTCCACTAACGGTTTTAACCGTTAATTAATGGACGTGTTTTCTCTTAAATGAGATAAATGTTTTGACAAATAATACGCCAAAAATGGTAGAGGGTGAATGAGAAATTGATTCTTAGAGTTAACCCGTTAATAAAAGAATATGGTAAGGATTGCAATTTTTTTTCAATTTTACTGAGCCAATCTTCTATTATTAATTTTACGTATTGTTTAAAATTAGTCCTTTTTACGGAGTTAACTGGCCATTAATCTCCAATTATTCGGGACAAATTTTAAACGGAGCGTAGCGTAACGGACGTGTTAATGGCTAATTAATCACCATTAACACACCACAAATGCCATGATTAATTCCAATGGTTAATGGTGGGAGTTACATTTTTCCTAAACTCCTTAATTATAAAATCAAAGCTCACTCCATCATTTATTGTGTGCTTCACGTGAGAAACAAAAAGAAAAAAGAAAGAAAATATTTCTTGTTTATTTTTTGAGAGAGCTCTTGATTTTCCGGCCAAATTTCCGACCATCCCCTTCAAAGTTTTTTGGTCGCCAACGTTCCTACGTTGTTTTTGTTCGTTGGGGTGTGGTTGGTCCGTACATCTCCACACACGATAGCGGTTTTATCCTGGGAGGAGAGTGCCCACGTTTTTCCGGTACGGTAGGCGGGCACTACTACCTTAAGGACAACTCCGGCGACTCCGCTGTCCTTCACGGTGTTTTGTTTTGCAGGTTTAGTTCATAAAGACCTCGCTGCATTCTGCCCTAGTGCATAATGTCCTCGCAGCCCAGTGCATAATGTCCTTGATGTCCTGTGCATAATGTCCTCGATGTCCAGTGCTTAATGTCCTCATACAACAAGGTTGTTTAAAGATATATAAATTTATTTTCAATTCTGTTTATCTTGTAATATTCTGAATAAGTTATAAATTCAGAATTTTATTTATTTTTATTTTTCGAGGCCGTTCATCTTCCCCGTCCGTTGTAATCCGTACAAAAAATTGTAACATTCCTCTTGATTTGATTTTATAACTAAGAAATTGAAAAGTGTAACTTACATCCGTACAAAAATTGTAACATCTACAACTCTAGAAACATGGACAATATTTAACACCAAAAACCATCAAAGACCAAACTTAAAGCTAAAAAAATGCAAATGGGAAAAACACACAAATAAATGCAAGGCAAAAGACACCAAATCCATAAAACATCGCAACACGAACAAAAACAACCACCATGATCCAAGCAACTACCCTAGTTTTAGATTTTGAAACGTTCTTATCTAAGATCATATTCCCGGTAAGGGTCAGAAGACTTAAATCTTGCTTATTCATCTCCCACCCCCACCCACTATGGTAAATCTCTCATATCTTTGCACCATGACTTATTTGCTACGTCGCTTCACGTGACCAAATCATATCAATCTATGGCTTATACTCATATTAAACTACGAGACTGTTTGTTTCAGCATCTTAATAGTTCAGATGTCTGAATGGTTCAGCACTTAATGGTTCAGACTGTTTATTTCAGCCTCTTAATGGTTCAGATGTCTGAATGGTTAAGAAATTTGCCTCTGAATGGTTAAGTATTATACAGAGTCTGAATGGTTAAGACCTCTTATCTGAATTGATCAGACATTTGCCTCTGAATAGTTAAGCAATATACTAGCTGCTAATGGTTCAGACCTCTTACTAGTTCAGCACATAATGGTTCAGACCTCTTACTGGTTCAGCACCTACCTATTCAGAAGTTGCCAAACAGCCCCTACATTAAGCAATGATGAATTGAACCGCAAGATAGTAAACTAAATGATATACCTTAAAATGATTACACTTTTACCATTTGAGCCTTCCAATAACTCTTGATTACTCATATATTTTCATTGATCATTTGATATACTAAAATATTTTTGTCACATTTTTTGTGAAATTCTTAATTTATTTTTTAAATATATTATTAGTACCTTTTATTTTCTATACCAATTTATTGATAAAATCATTTTTATTAACCACACACTAAACTCCAAACTCCAGTTACTAAAAATTCCAAGCTCAAGTTAAAATTAAGACGAGAAGAATAACACTTACTCTATCCATTCTATATAAACTTTATATTATGACGTTCACAATACATTGAGAAATGAATGAATATAGTCATGTAGACATACTTTATATCAACATTCATTCATTTTTCAATGTACCATGAAATTTAATATAAAAATTTAATAAAAATTGACAAAGTAAATAGAATAGCACCAAAACTAAGTCTAACTGAACGATCTCCCTTGGTAGAACAAATAGAGAGGTTATTCATTAAATTTAAAATTTAAATAAAATAAAATGAACAACCTTGATATATGTACATTTGTTAGTCGAGGAAGCAACTAAAGTGAAGTGGGAAAAAAATAAAAATGTCACACACACTTATTACAAATAAACTCCACAAGATTTTATTGATCAAGATTAACAAACAAAAATAAATAAATAGAACAAGGATGCTCCCAAAAAATCGCATCCATGGTGATGATGATGATGATGATGATGATGATGATTCCACTCCATTTGTCATTTTGACATGGAATAGAAATAATTTTCCGAAATTTTCAGTCTGCAAAAGGTGTGCATTGTTTGGTTCTGGGGCAGAAAACTTAAGAATTTCCCCATTGACAATGAGTGAAATCCAAACAAGCCTTGAAGCAATCTGCATACAGATGAACCATTTCAAGCACACAACAATTATACCAAAACAATGTATATATGTATATATTAGAAAACAGGTGGTGCAGGCATTAATGGACATCACATGCAACCAATGTCAGGCAAGGCAAGGCAGATAATAAATGATATATGCTACCAAACAAGAAGATAAAGCCATTAAAGATGAAAAGCTACCAATCTATCTGTATATGCCATCCAAATAAATTCCACTAGTACCCTCTGTTTGTTAGTAGAATTCAGGTTGAAGCAATGACATGAATTCTGCAAGCTATTGTATAGTCTTAAGCTTTGATTGATTAATTAATTAATCAAAAGGGCTTTCTTCTTCAGAAAGCTGGAAATGGTTGTAGTGACCTTTAAGGCACAATCTTTACCTTCAAGTTTGGGGTTTTTCTTGCTTTTGTAGTTAAAGATGAATGGCCCACTGGCTTCAACCAAAGTGAATGGGTTTATTTTTTATTGTCCACATCCTAAACCCATGCTATAAAAAAATAATTGATAGTCTTAAGAATACAGTAAAGCTATAATGATACTAGTGCTACTGGTGTCATTTGCTTACATCAGTTCGTTTGGGGCAACGTCTTTAGGTATAAATGATGGTTCCTATCCCCTAAACTCCCTTGCCCCCCCCACTCCCTACCCTGACAGTTATACTTCGAGAATTGGAAGTGGGAAGGGGATGGGAGTGTAAGAACAATCATTTTTATTAATGAAGCATTATAGTTTCCTCAAACAAACTGGTATAAACAATTGGTGTATAAGTACCTGAGGTCATTTTAGACGCTCTCGTTAGAATATAAATTAATTCTTCGGTTTTTAGTTAGTTCTGAGTTCAAAGCTCACAATTCTACCTGGTCTCAGAGATAAAGCATAAGATTTTGGAGCTAAAACAAAAGAAGCCTAAGGCACTCTAAGACAAAAGAATCAAAGCACATCCACACAGAAACATATGTGATTAATATAGTAAATAGTATATAATCATGAAATGAAAGCAGTAATTACCTGTGGCGACAAGACTTGATTAATCCACTCTAATCATTCATTCTAACCAAGTTAATATGTTCTTGAGTCTATTCCCAGACAGTCTCTGTAAGGCCCTCTTGGCACCCACCACCTCCATCTCAGCCAACCTCTGCAAATGCCCATAAACTCCGGCATCCAAGAGCCGCTTCCGGCAGAACTTGCTCCCTCCTCCGGCCACGACCGACGAAACCACCGCCACCGGGAACTTCTTGGACACCCAATCGCTCTTCGGGTCGAGCATTTGCGCGATCAAAATCACACTCTTGTCGTCCCTCGCGAAATCCTTGCGGATCGAATTCACGGTCAAGAGTGATGTCAGCGCGTTCGTGGCGACCTCCTGAAGCCCGTCGGGCTTCGCGGACTGCATCAGCTTCACCAGAGAGCCCATACACCCCGCGATTTCCCTCTTGTTCGTCTCACTGATGGGTAAATTCGCTAGCAGGGAGGCCGAGATGTACTGTATCATAACGGTTCCATGTTGGATGAGTTCGGATAATTGGGTGAGAAAAGGTGTGGAAGTAGAGAGGTGGCGTGAAGTCGATTCGCAGCCGGAGAGCGAATGGATCGCCCGCAATACGTGCTCGGTCATTTCGGGCCGGGTGGATTCTTGCAGGGAATGGAGCAGTCTGGATAACCCGTTTTCCTTGATTAACAGATCTCGGTAATACCCGCCGGAAGAAGCTAGGGTTGCGATGCAATTCGCAGCCTTTTCTTGGGCGGAGGAGTAGCCGGAGACGAGGAGCTGGAGGAGAACGGGAATAGCTCCTTCGTCTGATAAGGCGATCCGGATTTCTTCGTTAGTGGAGACGTTCCGAATTGCACCGACGGCGTGAATTTGGGCCGGGAACGGGCCGGACTTACAGAGCTCGATTAGGGTTTGGACGCCGCCGTAGGCGGAGACCGCCCAGGAATGGTCGGGATCGCTTGTGATGGATTCCACGGCCATGGCGGCTTTCTCTTTCATGATGTTCGAACCGGACTCGATTAATCTCAGGAGTGGCCCCAAACCGCCTTCGTCGAACACGCACTTCCGCGCCTGGCTGCTGGAACAAGTGAGCATCGACACCGCCATGACCGCCTGCTCGCAAATCACCGGATCTGAGTTCGGGTCGAGAAGATTCACCAAATACCCTATGCGTCCTTCCTTGGCCACGAGCCCCGCCTGTTTCTCGTCGTCGGCGAGAAGCTTAATTAGAGATTCCAGAGCCTTCCTCTTGAACCCGGAGCCGCCGATCTGGAGCCGAGTGAACAGGTCTCTGATGAACAGAACCAAATCCTCGCGGGAGGATGCGGTGGAGGGTTGGGAGAGGACGATAGCCGTGGACTGCCGGAGGACGCCGGAGCGGCAGAGGAGGTCGAGGTGTTGTATCTGCTTGGACAGCCAGGCGGCAGCCATGTCGAGGTCCGACTGCATAAGGAGCTTCCCGGGAGCAAAGGAGGCGTCGGAGCACTGGCGGCAGAGGGTGTCGACGCGGCGGAGGATGGAGAGCAGGTTGGGGAGGAGAGTGAGAAGCAGGGCGTTATCCGCCCAGCAGGGACTCTCAGACACCTCGGCGAGAAGCGACTTGAGAGTGGCGAGCTTGGAACGGATGACTTGCCAGCGGCAGGAGAAGGATTTGATCGAGAGGGACGCCTGAAGGAGGTGGGAGAGGAGGAGGACGATCTGGTCAAGAGTCTCCGCCGGGGACGGCGGCGGCTCGGCGGTCGGAGCATGCATAGTGTTAAATTCCGGGCAAGGAGAGAGCCGTTCCGCGAATTCCGGCCCGGAGCTGAATCGTTAATGAATCATGGAGGAATATATATAAAAATAAAAGAAAGAAAGAAAGAATAGAATTCTGTTAAAGATGGAAACTTTGCAGCTTTGGGGTTGCAGACAATAAGTGAAGGGGGGAAAATGAGGTCATCTAACGCGGAGAATGGAATTTTATGCGTTCTTTGACAACCGCGCGTGCATTACAACCGCGACCCTTGAATCCAAACACTTCCGGTATCCTCAATTTTTTCGTCCCACTGTCTGTCCACTTTTATTTTTACACACTATTCAATACAATTATTTAATTCATTTTATCTTGTAATTTGTATATTAAAAAATTATAGAAATTATATATTAATAATTTATAATTTGTAAGCCTAAATATAGTCATGTGTGATCTTGTTTGATTTGTCTTAACATATATAATTTCTAGAATTTTTTAATATACAAATTACAAGATAAAATAGATTAAAGAAGTGCATTGGATAGTGTGTAAAAATGAAAGTTGACAAATATAGGGGGACGGAGGGAGTATGTGACACCATGCCAAGATTTTTCTCATTAACAAGGATGAGAAAACTTTTCTAATGCCAATCTTTCGCTTTTCTTATTATTTTCTATCAATCCAAGTATTAATTTTTTTTTCTTTTAATTTTTTTAACCATTTTCTTTTTCCCATTTTCTTTCCTATTGCTTTCTTTCTTCTCATTTTCTCTCCTCATCCAAACAAATCATAAGTGCCCCGGCCATATACATACATATGAAAATATGACATTGGTGTTTGATGTCAAAGGAAACCTACACTACATTTTATTCTAATTAAATTTGTTATGTTTAGAATTCCAAATCATTTACCTTTATAAAAAAGAGATCCTCCTATTACATTATTCATAATTTCTTTTTTGCTTCGTATAAATATATATTAACAGTACAATTTGTACTTTATGAATTCTTGTATGCACTCCAACCCTCCGTTTGGATGGGGGGTTTTGAAGGAAAGAAAACTGGAGAGAGGAAAACACAAATTTTTAGATCTTTTCTAGAATATAAATAACTGTTCCTGGGCTACAACCACAAACTTGAGCTTCTGGTTGAGTTGGTCTCTTGAAATGGTATCAGAGCCCCGTTGACTAAGAGGTCACGAGTTCGAAACTCAGCACCACTTAGTTTAAAAAAATAAAAAATTTCATGTGCAAGTCTCAAAAAAGACTACCTGGTTGAGTTGGTTCCTTGACAGAGAGGAAAGAAAGCGTTGATAACTTTTTTCTACATTTAATCATGTTTTCTTTCTTCTTCTCATTTTCTCTTCTTTTTTACATATCCAAATAATAATTATTTTCTTTTCATTTTCTCTTCAATTTCTTTCTTCTCATTTTCTTTTATTTCATTTTTTTCCACTCATTTTCCTTTCAAATCCAAACAAAGCCCTAATCTAGATTGTGTAATAATTAGACTATTAATCCTTAATTGAAAAACGAACTCATTTTCTTGGAAAATGGCTTTTAAAATATGAGCTGAAAGTGCTTTTATTAAGATTTACTTGAGTAGAAACATTTTGTATTTGTAAATTGCTTTCTAATTAAGGTGTTTCTAACAACTACAAAAAAAACCCCAATCATGATCAGTTAACTTTTGCATTGCATACACTGATACACTAATACTTTAACAGTTCAATTAACCATTTCAATTCTCTTTTCTTTTTTCTTTTCTTTTTTTCTTTGTTTTTTTTTCTGCAAAAATGGGAACTATGTAGGGCATGCACACTCCGTATTTACATACACCTATACTCGCCGGTGGGCATTGTGCAGTTGGCAAAGGGAATATGTGTGTTACCAAGATGGTAAGGGCTGGAGGAGGTGCCATGAGGAGAGAGAGAGGGGGAGAGAGGGAGAGAGTAGGGTTTAGGGAATCAAGTATTTTCTTCTTCTTGAACAACTAGGTTACATCTCTTTTTATAGGAGAAGATGAAACCCATTCCTACTAAACTAAGGTTATCTAACTTGTAGGTTCAACAAAGGCGTCAAGGGAAAGAACCGAAAATAAAACCCTTGAAGGAGCTTATAATTACGCTCACCTACGAAAAATACTAAAATACTATAAAAGAATTCATAATGTAAAAAAAAGATTCAAACATAATCATCAAAACGCCTTGGACGTCGCGTCGCTCGTCAAGGCCTAGTAGCACGTACGTCCTCTGGTGATGCACTCAAATCATTCTCCCCCCCGGTTGGAGAAACAACTTGTCCTCAAGTTGCAAGTCAGGAAAAACCGTTCTCAACTGGTCCACGGGTTCCCACGTAGCGTCTGCCAAGCCACCGTCGAACTATGTAACGAGCCATTGCTCCTGAGGGACGCCCCGTACTAACACCGTTCTGCTCTGAATTGTCGCGGATGGTGTAGCCACTGGATGACCATTGATAAAATCACGGGGAAGGGGAATTGGACCGGGGTAGGAGCGTCGAAGTGATAGGCCTTCAACAGCGAGACATGGAAAACGTTGTGAATGCGAGTTCCCTCTCGTAATAACAACTTGTACGCCACAGCGCCAATGCGCTCTATCACCTGGAACGGTCCATAGAAGCGTTGTTACAATTTGACCGAGAGAGGTTTGGCGACAGAGTGTTGTCTGTACGGTTGTAATTTAAGCAACACCCAATCCCCAACATTAAAAGCAATATCACGTCAATGGAGATTAGCCTAAGCCTGCATTCGTTGTTGCATCTTGCGCAAGTGGCCCCTCAATTCCTCCAGCAGCTCCGCGCGCTCTGTCAACAGTGCCTCGATAGAAGGTGAACGGCTGGAAATGGGCCGAGTAGGGACCAGTGGGGGAGGTTCACGCCCGTTAGCCCGGAACGAGGTTGTTTTGAGGCCTTCATGATAAGAGCAATTTAAAGATAACTCAGCCCATGGAAGGAACGCAACCCACTTGGAAGGCTGGCTGTGCGTGAAAGCCCTCAAATACTACTCTAATCCGCGATTCATCACCTCCGTACGTCTTGTTACCTTGGTTTGCTAAGCCTCATGTTTTGATGTTAGCAAACAATATAAGAGCTTAACGTTTGTTTAAATGTTTCAGGAAAAACAAGAATCCATTAAGATTCGGTACTCAAGAATGAAGTCGAAACACTAAACTAGTGTAGAATATAGGTAGAAACCAATGTAAGGATATGATTTTAAATACCTATATTCACAAGCTCAAAAACACTCACAAAACATGTTTTAAACCCTTTTATAATCATTTTCAAACATCCAAAAGGTTTTAAACAAAATTGGAAATGATTTGGACAAAAATAAAAAAATTGTCAAAATGGTCATAAGGTACCTAGGTACCGTACGCACAGGACCCCCCTACCGTATGGACGAGACCCCCCTACCATAAGGGATACCGTACTAAGATAGGTACCTCCAGAGAGTTTTGGCCTGAGAAGGTACCTAGCTACCGTAAGCACGGGACCCCCCTACCGTATGGACAGGACCCCCCTACCGTGATCGTTGGATTACTGTACCTGATTTGTGATTTTGAATTTAATCAATCCTAATCACCTCCCAACGGCTAATTAACATCTTCTACTATAAATACAAGCCTATTTCTTCATATTTTTTCAAGAAACAAAGCTCTAAACATCCTATCTTTTTATTCTAAGTGTGTTCATCCTTTTATTAATTATTTTAAATATTTTGGCTATTTTAAGAGCCTTAAATTCCTAATTTTTATACACACACTTTGAGCTCGTGTTTCTAGTTATAAACTCTCATATTCATAATTTTATATTGTATTTTTGAGAGAGTATAATTTTCTTCTACACCGGTTAAGTTTTGTTCTTCATTTTTATATTCAAGCCGTTGTGTAGAACTCTTGTTTGTGTTTTTCAAACACATCTTTATACGGTCGAGAATAGCCGTTAAATTCTCATATTGTATCAGTCGAGGATAGCCGTATAAATATCCTTGGGTAAATTTTGTAGTACACGAGCGGTCTGCTCGATCCATTCAAGAGCAATTTGGGGTTTAGCAATTCGATCTCCCAGGAACTCCTCAGCACCATTATCTTTCAAGGTTTTGAAAGTGGTCAAACGAGGTTGTGGTGGAGGTGGTTGAAACACAGGGGCATTAGTCATTTGTTGTAAGAAGTTTACCATTAAGGTAGGTAGCATAGCGTCAGGTTGATCTCCCATATTTTGATCATTTTGGGGAACATGTAGTGAGTTCACTTGTTCACTTTGAATAGGAGGTGTGAAACTAGATACTTCAATATGAACATTTTCGTGCCCATCGCTTGGCGCTTGGTTACTTTGATCGTGAGCGGTTTCTTGACTCATGCTACAATAATAGAAATTCCTTCGTTAGGATTCTTGACGAGTTAACAACGGATATTTATTCAGACTATATCGATGTTTAAGCCACTAATCGTGTCATAACAATGTGTCACTTCATTCAACAAGATTGAGCTATCCATAGCTTCTAGCAAGTAGGTTCCTTTGAATTTGACTGAACAGATTGTCAATACATAGTAAAGGGTAGCGATTCTTGATCGTCAGTTTGTCTGTCTTAACAGAGATGTGGTAGAATCCTTGACCGTAAGTCAATCTTAGAGAGCACAATGGATTCTCTAAGCTAATCAAATAAGTCATAGATACGAAATAAGAATAACGTCAATTTCTTGTATGATATTTCAACAAAGTTTTGCAAGGAATTGTTGCTGAATGAACTACTTCGATTCGTATAATATAATCGCATATTTGCGTCGTAATGAGTTAGACATCAGAATGGGATACTTTTAGACAACAGAGTTTAATGATTCTAGACGTTCGTGTTTAAATCAGCAATCCGATCATCTTCGGTCCACATGAGGATCTTTGACAGCAGCTTTGCGAATGTTATTCAACTTTAGGCGTTTCTTCATAGTCGTCTCACTTCTATGCGACTTTGCGAGATAGATCAGCTTTGTCAATCGTGATATGATAAGTACGTTGATAACGTATCACAATTTTTTTTTATTCTTTCGTCTCTTCACCGAGTACGAAAAATCTACTTGAGTCTATGCTCGATATAATTTCACTACTAACAGATGTTATCTAGTGAGAATTTTAACAAAGTCAATATTTATCTAATAAATTCTCAAACCTTTCCTGGAGCAGAGGGATGCGAGAGTCGTGGATGTGACTGGCACATTTTTTTTTTAATTCAAATTTTGATCCGAAGATCGTTTTTAAAACCATTTGCTCCGATACCAAAATGTAACACCCTAATCTGTCCAGGTCTGCAGCCCCTTTCAGATTAAAGTATTAACTTGGTAATCGCAAAAACTTAAAACATTTCAAACACTTTTATTTATCACAATAATATTTTTCATAATATAAACAGTACGGAGTTTTCAATATCGCGGAAGCTTAACAATCATAATCACAAACATAATTTATTTATGTTCTTTAATTCAAAACCATCACATCCATTCCGACAATCTCGCCTCCGTCTGCCTCCAGGATCACGTCACTTCATTAACCTGCGTGTAGCAAATAAAACATATTACACGCTCAGCGTTGAAGCTGAGTAAGCATATCTAATGCGTCGAACATCCATATAAACTGAATCTAAATTCACAATCAAATCATTTGATATCATGCACAAAATGTTCAGTTCAGATACTCAATAATCATTAGTCAGTATTCATCATTCATTATTCAACATTTATATTCATATTCGACGTTCATCGGTTATTCATAATATTCACAATATTTAATTCAATAATCATTATTCAATATTCATTCATATTCAATGGTCATCTGTCATTCATAATAATCACAATATTCAATTCAATAATCGTTATTCAATATTCATTCATATTCAATATTCAACATTCGACAATATCCTTAAACTATTCTTAGTCTAAGGCCAATCACTTTAATATTTGTCAACCCTTACACGAATTCTAGTTTAAATAATTAAACTATATTCCAGTATAAAATATTCCTAAATAATCCTTAAGCTAGGCCTAGTTTAAGATAAAAGGGTTTTGAAAATCTTAAACTTACCTTCACTTAAGGCCAACCAAAAACCGACAGCGTAGTGTTCACTGTTGGGTGGGTGGTACCCCCAAACGAGTAGGTACTCAAGTTTGGTTC